AGTTGAATTCCCTTTCAAGTTTTGTCCACTCGCATATGCAGTACAAATCCGTGACCGACTCCTGCCAGGCACTTTTGGGAATTTTTTGCAATTTCTATTTTAAAAAATATTCAAAATATCTCTAATATTTTGTTAAATAAATATATTTTGTTTTTTATTTTTAAAATATTAACTTTACGTTTCTTATAAATTTAAGTTAGAAAATTTTAGTTTAACCTAAGTTTTTGCCCATTTTTTAGTCAGAAATCATCATGTGACATATATTCAATATTTTTTATGTATAAAAGAGTTAGATTTTACCTTATTAGTTACAAAAATGAATATGAATTAAATTAGATCTCACTTTTTGGAGAAAAAATAAACATAGATTAGGTCAAATTTTACTTTTCAAGGGGTAAAAAAAATATGAATAAAGCAATTTATTTAAATATAAATAATATTTAATCATTTTATCGTTAAAAAAGTGACTATATGTGAGTCATGTGATGAATTTAGAATAAAAAAATGATAAAAACTTATATTCAAACTAAATTTTATAGTCTTGATTTTATAAGAAACGTAAAATCGCCTTTTTAAGTAAAGAATGAAAATTTTTATTTGATAAAATGTGATGGAAACGATTTTTCCTTTATGTTTTAAGGAATTATTGTTGTTATTATTGGAGGTTGGTGATGTAATATGGTACACTTGAAGGTTTGTAAAAAAGCGGCGAGTGGGATTGATAAGTACGCGCGAAGGAAACGAGTAGGAGAAGAAAAGGTACATGGAAGGCCGGTGATGGGCCCTTTTCAACTTTCATATTGGTCCGTATTCTAGTGAATGGGCGAGACGCAAATTCTCGCCTTCGTGGTCTCATTCAACCAATCGATCATAATATCATCTGCTCATTATTCTTCCTTGTCCCTCTTCAACACTTCTGGACTCGAAACTTTTTAGTACTACAAGATGCTAAAGCTGAATGAAGCTGGAGTTTCATGCTACTCTCCATTCCTTCCGTATGTATTAGCTATTTTTTAGAGTGTTTTTGAAAAAAATACTGTAGCAGTGTATATGAAATTTTTTTTGAAATATTTGAAATATTGTATGAATGAGATGTTTTTTGAGTTATTATGTATTATTGTAGTATTGTATTTGAAATATTGTATGACTTATTTTTGAAAAAATGGTCAATCCAAACGGAGTGTCTAAAAGGTACTCTGGGATATAGTTTCGATTTTCATCATATTCCAAAATTGTTTCTGGGATATAGTTTCGATTTTCATCACATTCCAAAATTGAGCTTAACGCTATTTCCTCCAAAGTTTCACAAATGATATCATATTAGAGTAGTTTTTATTTAGTTATATTGAGTTGCAAGCCCTTCCCTTTCTATTTTGTAAGGTTTGGAGTTTTCTCTTAAATTTAAAAAATTTATAATTAACATAATAAAAAAAGAAATATAATTTGCACTCCATTTTTTATTATTGGCTCTTCTAGCATTTGTTTTATCATATAGTCTATTAAAAGAAAACTATATGATTAAAATGATAGTAAGAATGTAATTAATAAAAATGAAAGTGCAAATAACATTTCTCTTAAAAAAAAAGAAGCTATAGTAAGGGTACATTTGATAAAATTGAAATTTGAAAACTAAAATCTGAGTCCATTAAATTGTTGACTCGTTAAGTATTAAATTTTGATATGTTTGAATATATATATATTAAATGAGTATATCTTATATACACTGACAATGTATGCACTATCACCGTTTGATTCATAACATGTGCGAAAAGTTGAATTTCAAATTTAAATTTTGCATAGTTGTCATTCATCCAACGATGACAGTGTAGGAAAGATTAATCCATATTTAAATTACATGATAAGTGATATCACTGGTCACTTTTTTTTGGAGTAAGTTTTGTTTAGAAAATTCAGTATCATTTAATTAATTTAGATGTTCTATTTTAGTTATTAATGTATATGAACATGTTAACATCTGAACTCATTAAACTTAAATGTTAAATTGAATCATTAAACGGGGTCTAAGTTGATCATAATGTTGTTAGCGTGGCCAAAGTGAAGCTAAGTTGGTAATAGCTGAAAATTGCGCCCTGTATATATGATGTACCCATGACCTTAATTGAATGTCAGTCGTTTTCTCATGGAAAAGTAGAGTAACGTAACTTCGAAATTTAAAGTCCGTCAGGAAGCAAATGCGCGCAAAATGCAGGCTTTCAGTTGTCTTGTTATGTCGATTACTATTCTTGCCATTATATTCCTTTATAACACGACCATGCTTAATTGGATTCTCGATTTAGAAAGAAGATTTGATTGGTTGTACTAAGGTCTACTTAGTAGGGTTGCTCAGTTCATCCTCGCCGTCTAATGAAATTTTTGCTCCAGTTACTAGCTAAGGATGAATCTTGAATCAAAGGAAAACCAAATCTAGCACACGACGACACTATTGATGCAGCCAATTGCAAAATCCAGAATATATATATATATATATATATAGAGAGAGAGAGAAGCAGGCCATGATGCCACGTCGTCTACGCTGTGCAGGAAATGACTTTGGAAATCAAGACAATCCAGGGTCGGCTATATTGACTTGCAATCCATCCATTTTTTTTTTTTTTTTCATCACAGTGGGTATCTGGGGCCGAGGACTGGTTACCGTACGCCCCAACTAATCCCACTGCGTGACCGCGAGAGGCTGCCCGACATCATCGATCAATGGTAACGATTGGGATTCGATCCTTGGTTGGTGGCTCTTACCCAACTGGGCTACAACCACCGGACCGAACCCAGACTGGGCGACTTGCAATCCATCCATGTTTAACGTATTATACTACACTGCTGTTAAGATAATAAGATATTAATTGCTTTACATCATCGTATTCTAATCAAAATTAAATCTAAATCAGTTTGATGTTATCCCATGAGACATTATTGATTCATTCACTAATCACGTGACGCGTTTAAATCGGACCATTGGAGATCGGGGATGACAAGATCCAAAAAAGAAAAGAGGGAGAAAGAAAAAGAATATCCTACTGTATGTATACAGGAAAGCTATTAATTAATCACGTATGGAAGGACTAATTGTTTAACCAAGAATGAGCTGGTTGTAGATCTGAATTAGAAAATATCAAGTGTAGATGAAGCAGCCACCATCTTTGACAAAGACAGAATGGGTAGTGTGCCTTAGACGTCAATGATTCCCTGAATCGTCTGAAAAACACTCATCAACTGCCCCCTTGAATTGCACCACCATTGTCGACACTTCCCCTTTTTCTAGAAACTCCCCACTCTCTTGTGTCTTCCTATCTTTTTTTAGATAATAAATCATTATTATCATTGTAATTGAATAAATGCTCCCAACATGGCTATATTAGTATCAAATAATGCTGATGTTAGATAGTGTGGCAAGCACAAATTAAAATCTGCACCATATTTGCCCCCCTTGAATTTTATAAAATTCTCTCTTTTCAGTTGTATTGCCTCCTCTTAAATTAAAGAAAATTCCTTTCTCTATATAGATGATCCTTTGAAGTTTTATTTATTCCCCTCTTATTCTACATTTACTCCCCCCCCTCACAAAAAAAAAATAAGATTTTTTATTAATTATCTCTAATAAAAATTTTAGATCTATTCCAAATTAAACATTAACGACGTTCTAATGGGAAAAAAGGATTTGGCCTTTAAATCAAAATACATATTATATATATTTTTTATAGAAATCTGAGAGCATGATTTATGTTGAAATTGATCGTTGCATCTCTTTACTATAGGGTCTTAACTCTGCTACTGTGGGGGAAAGAGGTGTAAGTGAGAGGTCTGAGTTTCAAGCCTATAAGTATTTTTTTTCTAAATAATTATATTTGGCATATTTGCCAATTTAATTTTGCCATAGAACACCATCTTCCACTATGTTTTGGATTCACTTGTCAATGAAAATATATAGTGTGGCATGATAAAACTCAATCATCTAGAGCGATAAATTTGGTAATTTCGACAATTGTAGAAATGTCTTATATTAAAAAAAAATTTGTAGAAATCTTGTTCCAGTTTTTTACGGGGAGGAAGGAAAGAAATGAACTTGCCTTGCCAGTCGAACCCAAGACGTCACTCATCACCTGACATTGTGTCCATTTCAGCAGCCCAAATGTTTAGCTACCGTAGTTCCATTGGGCTTATATTTGCTGAGGTCCAATTACAAATATGTCCAGAGAAGGCCCGCTTCTGTAGAAAGTTCGCGTTACTTCTCTTTCTTTTCGAAGTCAGACAATTTGCTTAATTTTGCTGCAAGAATAGTAGTTTCTCTGGCAATTGGCAAAGCTTTAGCTCCATGTAACTGTGTAAACTAAAGAATTAACCACTTTGCACATTGTGTAATTTCATGGCGAGGGTTATGATTTGGGCTAAGTAAGAAGCTGGACTCAGCTAGTAGATCTTCTACATCTCATTGCGTAAAGTAAAGAAATAGCATATACACCGTTATTCATCTTAAATTTAAATTTGAAGTCTAAAAAAATTTTGTTCATCATCTGTCATGCACTTGATGATGATATCGTATATATTGTTAGCTGCTGTTAGCGTACGTAATATTAACTCTAATGTCCCGTTTAATAACTCAATTCAATATTTAAATTTAATGAATTCAAATTTTAATATGTTAAGATGCATTTGATAACAAAAAATAGAGTATTTGAGTTAATTGAGTGACACTGAATTCTTTAGATAAAATTTGCCTACAAAATTAAGTGATAATCTATTCACTTATCATTGAATGCGATATGCATTCAAATATATTAGAATTAATATTTAAAAATTTAATAAATTCAGACTGGATTTTAAATTTTAAATATTAGTTTTATCAAACGCACGTAAATAATAAGTGATGTGTATAATAAAAGTACATAAACCACGTCTTCCGCAAAATAAAATGGAAATAGTCTCTATTAATTAACAGTCACAGGCCACAGCCCATACATAAATGAAAATGAACACTGTCTGACACATATCCAATTTCACACATCCCAACAAGCTCAATCGTGATCTTATGCGTTCTCGGCCTCAATTCCCTTTCTCTTCTTCATTGGATATATCTCTACCAACTTCCTTTTTCCATTCCGCTTGAATTATAAGGAGAATTATATATTGAGTGCAGAAATTTTGGCCTACACTCCACGACTATTCTCTTCTTCTTCTTCCAAATTTGATTGCGTAAGAAACACGCCAAGGAGCTTCCAGTCCTTCCCCATCGTGCATTATTAACGAAATAGAGCAAAAACGATACCAGCATGGAGTCCGGTGCAAGTGTTAAGCAAAGAATTGCCAGAATTTCAGCCCACCTCAACCCTCCAGCCATTTCCCAGGTGGTTTTCTCTCCTTTCCTCCTTAATTAGCTTTGGTTTTATGAATTTTTTGGCTTTAGCTTCCGCCTTTCTTGATAGGTCGTTGAAAATTGATTTTGAAAGAAGTCGATTTTTATTTTAATTTGGGTTTTTAATGGGAAAAATTTCTCTTGGCTTTTGTGGGCTATAAAGGTGGAGGGAAGTTGTGGGTTGAGAACAGGGAATTGCAGGGCAAAAGGGGGCTCACCTGGGTTTAAAGTTGCGATCTTGGGAGCTGCAGGAGGCATTGGGCAGCCTCTCGTTATGCTCATGAAGATGAATCCATTGGTCTCAGTTCTTCATCTCTATGATGTGGTCAACACTCCTGGAGTCACCGCAGATATCAGTCACATGGACACCGGTGCAGTGGTAAATTTCCCATGTTAATTAATAACCAAATTGCTGATTTGTTAATGTGTATCTCATGTACCCGCTTGTCAAAGAAATCGATGTTAATCGTTAATGGAAAGAGAGAGATGAGATGGAAGCTCTTGAATGAGTTGTTCCACCCGCGGTACTTTGTAGAGTAAGGAACTTTGTGTCAGTAGAAACCTTGCGTCAGTTTACAGAGTTGCAGTTGAAATCAGCATAGGGGAAGACAAGAGTTAATAGATTGTCGTCATTGTACAATGTTAAAAATGTGAAAGTTAATGAAGAAAGAGAAAATATGGGTAAATATTCTGTGTCTCGTATGTTTAGCAAATATCCACTTTATGATTCTCCAATGCCTCTTCGTCACATATGTGGCCTTAAGGTATGGGAAAAGACTGTAACATGGTAGCATTGTCTCATGTATGGTTTACTTTGTTGGTACAACTTAGTTCACTTCAACTTAACTTTGTTGGTACATCCAGGGATCAGGAATTTGATAACATGAAATTCAAAGCAACGATGAGTGAAAATTGAGATGTCCCTTTTTGTGCTATATAAGTTCTTATGTTCTAAATTGTTCAATTTGGCATAGACTGCTAATGTTTGGTTTACATTTCCAGGTGCGTGGTTTTCTAGGGAAAGAGCAATTGGAGGATGCCCTTATTGGCATGGACCTTGTGATCATTCCTGCTGGGGTTCCTAGGAAACCAGGAATGACTAGAGATGATCTTTTTAATATCAATGCTGGAATTGTTAAGACTCTATGTGAAGGAATTTCAAAGTGCTGTCCGAAAGCCATTGTCAACTTAATTAGTAACCCTGTTAACTCCACAGTTCCCATTGCTGCAGAGGTTTTCAAGAAGGCCGGCATCTATGACCCCAGGAAACTTTTGGGAGTGACAATGCTTGATGTTGTTAGATCCAATACATTTGTGGTATGCATGACTCAGTAGCTATTCCTTTTGATATATAAACCAACCGTTTATTCTCTCTGTCTCTCTCTCTCACATATGTCATTAGATTTGTATCATTCTTAGGATTCTCTATCTTATATTGTATCTTTTACATCATCTGAAGGCCGAGGTTTTGGGGCTTGATCCTAGGGAAGTTGATGTTCCAGTTGTAGGGGGTCATGCTGGAGCTACAATTTTACCTCTGCTGTCACAGGTCAATATAACTTCTTGAATAGCTTATAAGTTCACTTAAATAGCAATAACTCTCTCTCTCTCTCTCTCTCTCTCTATCCTTTATTAGCCCTTCTTATGTTAATGGAACTTGTCTCATGTAAAACAGGTTAAACCTCCTTGCTCTTTTACTGTAGAAGAAACTGAGCATCTGACTTCTAGAATTCAGAATGGTGGAACTGAAGTTGTTGAGGTAAGAAGGTTTCCCATTTATATAATGTGAAGTCTGTGCTTGAGTTTCTAACTGCAGCAGTGACGGCTGTTAGATGTATTCGTAAAAAATGCCTAGTACTCCAGTGCATCAGTCATTTCTATGCTTGATACAATGTTGTTCAGTCATACTTGCTCATTATGTTTTGTCATAAATGAAGAGCTTAGGTTTAACGAGTTCAGTTTCATCTGTTGCCATATAGAAATTCATAAGCTGTGGAGCTGGCATGAAGGGAGAGTTGCATTTAGGTTAAAATCTAGGAGATGCCACTCAGAACCATAGTCGAACCTCTTTGTTTGCCTTACTTGCCCTTTCTTCAACTGGATAATCTTGTTTGATTGACGTAAATAAGATGTATAAAAAGCTTGGTCCTAAGTGCCTTTAGTTGGAAAGTGCCAAAGTCTGGGATATGCAAATTGTTGATTTCAGTTTTTATTAGATTGGTGTGCCTGCGTAAAGATTTTGTGTAGACAACGATTTAAAAAATGAAAAGGAAATCTGTTAAGCTGAACAGCAAGCTTGGGATTTGTTCAACTTCCCTGCTAGAAACATTGTGGGTTCATTTTGGCGCATTTGATACTTAGTTAATCTGGAGAGCACACAACATAAGTTAACTTGTACTTCTGCATTCTATACCATGCTGGAGAGAGCTAAAAATTGACTGTGTTAATGTGGAGACTGAATGCATATAGTTGTAGGACCTAGTCAATTTTCCGTGAGGTTAAAATAAGGGAAGAAAACCCAAGAGTAAGGATATGGAAAGAAGCAATACCTCACTTACACATCGTCCTCAAATGAACTGTTGAAGCTTTGTCTAATAATTACACTTCTCTACAAGATGTGTTTTGTGAAAATTACTTTTGAATAATTGCTGAAAGTTCTTTAAGGTGACGTTACTAAAATTTCGAATGACTAAATATATATAGGTGGATGTCTCTTAGTAATGGCTGGTGGCGCGAAATTTTGGAAATAGACTAATTAATATTTTAGTATTAAAAAGTGAGAAATTTGTCTCTGTAGAATTTTGGCTGCACGGTTTTCAACGAATATCTATACTTATTTTTCGTTTGGCAGCCAAGAAACAATAGTGATATGAACTGTTATATAATGGCATGAATAAATTGTTCCATGTACACAATGGACGTCTGTATGTATTTTAATATAATTGTTGCATCCCTTTCAGGCCAAAGCTGGTGCAGGATCTGCTACTCTCTCAATGGTTAGGCATTGTTATCAGTCCTTGTTTTACTAACTGTTATTCTGTTACTACTAAACAACATTGGCTCTTGAGATAGTGCTGAGAAAGGCCTGCTGGTTATTTTCAGGCATATGCTGCTGTTAAATTTGCAGATGCATGTTTACGGGGGTTGAGAGGAGATGCTGGTGTTGTCGAGTGTGCATTTGTGTCATCTCAGGCATGTCACTATCATCACTTATCTAGGATTCATAAACACTCTTCATGATGTTATTGTAATTGATTGGTTGATCATTCTCTTTTCAGGTGACTGAGCTTCCTTTCTTTGCAACCAGAGTACGGCTTGGTTGTAATGGGATTGAGGAGATATACCCACTTGGTCCACTAAACGAGTATGAGAGGTCTGTATTAACTAATATTTTAGATTATCTTCCATCTTTTTGTCCTAATGTTCTTTCTAAGCTGTGTTATCAGCCCTCCTACCCTATGGACTGCTGAAGTTTTTAACCTTGTCCTCCGACTAATTCGTCATCTTATATCACTTTGCCAAACCAATTAAGTAGACCTATCTCAACTCAATCTGATGAAAGCTGGCAGTTCATTGTTTCAATGTGTACCCTTCAGTTCCCCCCCCCCCCCCCCCCCCCCCCCCACAAACCAATTTCTTGTGTGATTTGTCCATTCAAACCACAAAGCTACGGTAAAGACGCTTATAGAGGAGAAATGCTTGCTTTTTTATGCTAAGGTGGCATTTAACAGTATTATTAATAAATACTTGATTCTCATATTATTGGTTGTTGATATAATTCATGATGCTTTTTCTGAATCATTGGTCCTTCTGACGTGCTAATCAAAGTAGTCACCACTAGCACAAGCTCATCATCTCAAAATAAAGATAGTATCTGCACATTCGAAAATTACATTTTACCTTTATTCAGTGCTTGTCAGCCTAATTTAAGTATACTTACTATCCAATTATGTAATGAGATAATGTGCATGCTGTTGTTCTCTCCAATGTATCTGCATGCCTGTGCCAGTATGGTGCATCGGATGGGTCTGACATATTTGTCCGTGTTCAAGAGAATTGCTTGTCTTTACCGTGTTCTGATTTTTGCAGGGCCGGCTTGGAGAAAGCAAAGAAAGAATTAGCTGGAAGCATTGAGAAGGGGATTTCATTTGCAACGAAATGAAACGGCCAACTAAATTACATTCTTCAGGATCGTTATTACCGTGGTGCCTCTTGTTGTTCAGTCAAGGCCTCGGTTTCTGGAATAAGTTGTTGAATCCGATGTTGTATCAGAAGTGCATACAGCCTTGCAGTGTACACAAATCAGAAAAATAAGGCAAAGATTTTGTCCTACCTCGCTCCCTCATATTTGTTCCCTCCTACCATAGAACATGAAAATTAAAGGGGGGGAAGTGTGTTCTTTTAAGATTGATGGATGGACTTTTGGTGTACTTCACCGGGGTAATTGAGAATGAGCATGTTAGTATAGATCTAAACTTTCTTCATCTTCAATATATTCTTGGTAACTTCTGATGGATTTTCATCAGTTCAATTTCTTGGTATCATCTTTTCGGTAATTGATAGGTGGTTTCTAGCTCAAGCCCGGTAGATTTTTTAATTGGGATAATTTCAGATACCTCCCCTAAGGTTTTTAACAATTTCACTAGCTTCCTTTTAGGTTCGCAAAATTACACGAGCCTCCCTTGAAGTTAATGATGTAGAAACAAAATGAGTCCAAATCAGAAAAAGTAACATTAAAAAAATATTTTAAGGAGAGATGAAATTTTTATTTCATAACTACCCCTTATACATATATATAAGTTGTATTAGTAAAAATATGAAATCAAGTAAAAATTAGAAACAATTAACACACATTTCATTACTCAAAATATTCACATTCAATGCATTGGACAACACAAATAAATGATAAAACTACATTAATGATCACAAGATTCAGTAAAACAGACAAGTCATCGTTCTTAACATCAAGTTTGTTATGGTTTTTGTGATTTTTGAACAGAATGAATTTTTAAATTTTACCTTTTTTTCTTCTTTCTTCTTTATTTTCACGAAATTACTTTACAACTATTACAATTTCAAAAGTTCCAAAGAAAATTTTCTCACGAATAATTTTTTTTTTACCCTGTGTTTTTTTTTTTATTTTACCAAAGCTCTTTTTGTCACAGTGTGTTTAACTGGTTTTTGATCATTGTTAAAGTTTTATCAATCACAAAATAGCATCATTTGGTATATCGATTAGCCTTTATTTTATAATTACAAGTCACTGTTCATCATTAAAGAAATTCTCAATAGTTATTTTCTTTAATTAGTTATTAATAGTTAATTAGTGCTCTAATTACTCAATCGTTAGATATTAGTTTCTATAAGACATATAATGTCTTAGAGTATATGGGTAATTTTTTCCCATGTGATGAAAGTAATCAGGCCCACAATTCTACCAAGAGAGGTAAATGTAATTTTATAAATCTCAAGGAGGGCAGTGAAATTGTCAAAGACATCAAGGGAGGTTTTTGTAATTATACCTTACAGATTATATGTAACTACATTTGAGAGATCAGTACTTCATTTTAACCGAAATCACAAATACGGTTGATTGTTAAAGACTAATATAAAACTAAATTACATTTAAAGACTAATATAAAATTAGATTACATTTACATGTAAAATATGAATTCAAAAACTTCGCTCTGCAAATCTCAATCTTAGTAATAAACGAGTTTAGGCGGGAGACTTGTGACGTTTAAACTTCGATAGTGTCCTATTGATTGATTTTCCTTCTTCTTTAAGTTTTTAGGTTTTGATACGACCGTAGTACATGTACTCACTTGCCCACTGACCCGTCTCTTATACGATGAAACTAATTCCATCAACTATATAAGAAGAGGAGACAAAGAGGTAGTAAGTTGCCTGCTTGTAGCGAGGATGTAGCTAAACCTTTCGGAATCTCAATCTTAGTAGTAAATGAGTTTAGGTTCAAACCTTGTGTCTCTTGACCTTCGCTCATGATTAGAACATATTATTAATTAGCAAAAAAATTTGCATAAGAGATTACAAATTATTGATTTTGTGATACAACAAAGCGTTATGGATTCAAATCCTCTTTTTTCCTCTTTGCTTTTTAAATCTCAATTCGTGTATTTTTCGTTTTTTTGAATGGCCTGATTGGGCTTGTCCAAATACGACAAATAGATGGACCAAGTGGGTTTGCCCAATGCTGATGGGAACCCAAATAGGACAATACTGATCCAATCTAAACTAAGGTAGGTAGCAAGAAGTCCTACATGGTCAGCAAATGTTGAAAGGTGCAGCTCAACTGGAGATTAGACTCATAGAAGAAGGTCCGCGGGTACTGCAAGAAAATCCGTCCATTTTTAGTCACCTTCGTAAAATCCGATATCTGTTTATCCAAGTCCCAAGTGAGCGGGGTCTATACATAATTGTCGTGGGTATCATTACCATCAACTAAAAATGATGAGAAAACGTGTACATAAGAATTTCTAAGCTTTTGACTCATGAGCGATCTGCAGTTAATTGCCCCTTGAATAATACTGTACTACATGCGAAGCTCAGTTCATGATAAACTCTGGCAGTAAAAAGCAAGCTCCTGAGTCACGAGTCACCAAATGGAATGATTAAAGCTGCTCTTAATTTGCTTCTTTCATGATCAGTGTATCCCAGCCATCGTGCACTTTTCTCTTGAATCCCTTTTTTTTCTTGACCCCACAAATGCCCATCTTTTCTCTGACTTTTGTTTTTTTCCTTTATATATATCTGCATGGCAAAATTTAAAATGTAGATTGGCCATCTGGGCTCCTTTCCTAATCATTCTAATCAGCATCTGTCATAGGCAATGGATCTATTTACGCATCTAAACTTTAGTCTACCATCACTTTAGGTGGTGCCAAAGAGTTCCTGTGTCACAATCTTTTCATGGACATGATTATGGGCTCGAGTTCATCATTGACTATCAATGCATATTTTGTCCACAACGTGTTCCAAACTACACGTGGATCTTGTTTATTACTAACTCTCTGTAAAAAGTGTGATTAGAAGTACTTAGTGGCAAAAAATCTGGCTTCATTTACTTTACAGCTAATTCATTAGTGTGATATTTGCGCCCCACACCTCCCCAACTTTTTTTTTTTTTTTTTTTTTTTTTTACGCTGAATGTTCAAAGTTTGGCAAAAGTCATGTATGTCGCCTTTTTGGCCTTTCCGACACATCAATGGTGTCTGCTTTTCCTTTTGATTACAATATCAAAATGCACTTGCCGGTGTTCCAATTTACTACTCCCACTGCTGCAACCACTCAATCTTTTAAGAGCGAAAGCTAGCTAGCATTAACGGTCTTGGTTACAGTATAAACAAATTTTAGTGGATTTGTGCATAACATTCTCGAAAGAAGGAAATGTAGCTGCACCAATAAATGTTATGTTGAGCATGAAATGAAATTATTCCTTTTGATGCAAGTGAAATAGTAAGTGTGTAACGAACGGACTCAGTAATTTTTCCACATGTACCGTTCCTTTGACCCCTTTGAGTTTTGGTGCTAAAATATTTTTGGCCCTAAATCTAATTATTGTCTTTCGTTCTACGAACATTTGGGGCGATATCCAAGTCCACTCACTCTTGAAACCCACCTTTCTCCATGCAATTAAAATGTCTCTTTAATCTCCATCCACATTTGTGATAGCCTTTAATTTTCGGGGACATGTTCTACCAAATTTTGCCATACTTTGCACTGCTCTATCATGTGCATTGCTCCTGGAGTACTAAACTGTCTCTCGTCATATCTTTTTCTGTAGTGTAGGCTCCTCCTCCGTTTCATTTGGAGAGTGAAAGCGATTCCGATTGAAATACTTTCGCTGTGCTTTTTTGATCTGAAAGGAAAAACCAGCAAATATATTTTCTTAGGAGTACTTTTCTTTACTTGCTAACGGTCCTACACCATCCCGATGAATTATGATACACACAGGGGAAAAGAGGGGGTAGTCGGTCGATTTGATCCATTTTGAGACACAGAATATATATATATAGAATAAAAAGCAAGACGACTTTTCTTGTCAAGAAAAGCTTCGAAACACTTAACTATTGGAGTTAATCATTCTTGATTTATCAAAGGCCACAACGTTTTACAAGCGGTGGAATCCAAAGTACCTTTAATTGCACCTTTTTTTTTTTTTTTTCCAAGTGTGCAACCATCCTTGAATCCATTAATAACCAACTAATGCCCCATGAAAGTCTATTTTATTTGGTTGCATGATTTGAGGAAGAGGGGTTGATCGAGATTAATGGCCATTGATTACTTAAAGTTAATAGTCGACAATTGCATAGTTGTTCCATGAAGAAGTCGCATCGTATCTGATCTGATCTGATCAGGTTTCATTGGCGATAATAACACGGGACCAAGTAGTAAAAGCTAAAACACAAATATTATCTGTCGGTGGTGCTAAACGTCCAGACGAGTGAATTAACGACAACACATAGGGTATTGTAATCTCAAATCTGTACTGAGTAAAACATTGATCTGGTGATGCAACGCAGAGCTGGAAAAAATAAAAAGACACTGATCATGACTACCATGTACCATGTAGGGGTGTCCAAAGAAAACGTTAACGTTTGACATAGACCTGTTGTTTTGTTTCATCCCCAGCTGCTCCACAGCCATAAGGCCAACTGGCCATGGACTCCAACTAGGAGGCCCTTATTGCCTTTAGGGACGCAATAATTTATCTCCCGTGGCGACCGGTGAGATTGAGAATGACCATTCTCTGCTCATATTGAATGACTCTGCAAATACGGCTGCCAAATTCGTTCCCATGCATGTTGTGCTTTCGGACTTTGTATGCCTCTCTGACCCACGCGTGTTTGAATAGAAGATTATTTGAAAATATTAATATAATATTTTTATGATGTAATTTATGTGAGATGAAAATGTAGTTAGAAATAAAAATAGGTGAGTGGAGAATGTTCTTGTGATGCAAGCAATTTTTTTTTTTGCCAATTAAAACTTGTATCTAATTAAACAGGGCTGTTAGTGGCAAACACGATGTGAAGTAAAATAGTAATGGGAAAATGTGTCAAAGAAATATTTCAAAAAAATTTTTGCCAAAAAAAAAAAAACTACCAATTCCAAGAGTTTCTTCTTTTTTTTTTTTGATGTGTCTAGAATAATAAAAGTAGAGTGGGGCTAATGTAGCATAAACCGATCGCATTTCTAGGGTGATATGGAATTTATATTGTTTTTGTAAGGGAAGACTAGTCATTTGCAATGCTAATAATTAGCGTTCAATTAGGCTAACACTTGGGAGTGTTCAGATAATGTGTTATTTGAAACAATTATTACAACACTTTTGTGATGTAAGGTATATGAGATAAAAGGATAATTGATTGAGAGGATAAACAAGATGATTGAAAATTGCGTTTTTGATAGAAGCACAAATATCATTTCAAATAATACACATGTATTCTGCTGCAGTTATTGGAGCTTATTTAAGTGAATGAGAATTTCTCATCACTAAATAAATT